AAAAAAAAAAAAAAGAACATATTCAATTTCAGTTTGAATATACCAATAAATGTTGGCAAAAGCCAAAAAAAAAAAAAAAAAGTAGTTTCTGAAGTGTCCAAAATGAAGGTAACACGATAGTCAAACCTAAATAATCATCCATTTATGGATGTCTTCTAGATAAGTCATTTTTGATTTTCTTTCCAACAACATCTGCCAATAACAAGCAATTTGACACCTCTGATACACTCATTAAATTATATTTTACACAGTAATATTTAGAAAATTTTTTGAAACAAACCATAACCAGCAACATTAACACTTTTTTCCCTGCTCACTGATCGCTAAAATATATCATTATTTTTTCAGCATTTTCTTTCCGTTTCCAACCAATTGTTCACGATTTTTATCAAAAAAAAAAAGGAAAATGATTAATACAGCTAACAAACAGCTATCAATAATTCAAAAACAACCAGTCGTTCCAGACCTATTAGAATTCTGTATTTTCCAAAAGTTGTTCAAAAAAAATTCTATTGAAATACAAATGCCTGTACAGAGCTATCAAAAAAATACGAAGCCGAAAATGTTATAAAAATCTAAGTTAATGAATAACATCTTTACAAGTTGACTTTGACAATACATTATATAGAATACTAAATTTCAATGTTGCTTCTATTTTACCAAAAGATCAGTGCTGTTAACCCATACAGCATTAAAATTCAATTTTCTTATGAGTAACTTTTACGAAAAGTAAAAGTTCCTGCCAAGGAACTTCCTTTTCAGTACCCATATATCGACTTGTCAGAACTAATTTGGTACCTAACGTTTACTGATACATGGTAATATTAGCAACTTAACATATTCAGTTGCATTGAAGTTACCGAATAAAAATGCTATAACTTGTACTATGGTTTCCAACAATTTCATATTATTTAAGTGTCAGTCATAGTATGAAAGTTCATTGTACACATAACTGTCCCACCTCTTTGACCTTTGATTACAGCCTTTCAAAAACCAACAGATAAAAAGGCAAAGGGAGAACCATAAACTGTGGAAAAGTGGTAGCTGCTAGGATTTATCCGCCTTTACTACGTCTAATAACTTCTTCGTAAGTCGATTTCAGAGTCCTATTTTTTTTGCTCCCTTTTCATTGCTTGAATGTCTGAAATATATCCAAAAAAAAGAAAAATAGAAATCGTCTACAGGACAGGACAACAATTAAGAATATTTAGGCATTTCTTTATGATTCATACTAAACGGTTTCAATTTACGCATTTAAGCTTTAAAAAGACTTGTTTTTGACGAAAACAGTGACGGATGATAACTCCAAAAAAGACATTGACGGTGACAAAACAAAAGGATTACGAAACTAACAAATTTGAGATTGTATGAAAGACCAATGTTAAAAAAAAAAAAAACAAGACTAAGCTCTAAAAAAAGTACAAACAAAAATATGAAAAACATCTGTTAAATTGGTGTAGAGAAAGAAAAATAAAAAGAGTCAAAAAATAGAATAAAATTGAAGAGAAAAATGTATTTCAAAAAATCGTTTCTGTTCTAAGACACACCAATTAGGCGTATTTTCATTTGAACGACAAGAGCCCTTCTCTGCCATTTTCTTGTAAATTAGACGCAAAAGTGCAAAACAGAAGAAAAAATCCCTAATTACAACAAAATCAAGCCTGACTAGTTAGTCAGCTAGCTAGCAAGCTAACTAACTAACAAGTTATAGAGCTAAGAATCGTTTGCAAATGGTTCAGACTTCAGTCAGTTGTCTGTTGCTCAATCAAACAAATGTGCATCGTTTTAGCAGTTCGAAAAACCTCTATTCGATAGCACCACTAAATGCACTTTATCAAATCTGCTTACATTTATCAAACATTCAACAACAACAACTTTTATTATATTCATACTGTACTTATTCAACCTTCAATTCCTTTCAACACAGAAAAAAAACCAAATTGCCTTTACGTCATTCAACTGTCATTCATTTATTTAGTACCCAATCCTTACCAGCTTTCGCGTCGTTTCTAATAACTGATAGATCAGTATGAGTATAACAGCAAATATCTGATTAGTTTTCAGTGTAAAATAAATGTCATTTATTGTCTGTGAAATCTGAACTGAATAATATCTTACATTTAAACCTATTTTTGAATAATTACTTTAAATGGACAAACCTTGCAGAGAAGATAATGAGGACAAATGTACAGTAGAAATCGACATCAAGAACAGACTAGAAAAAAAGTAGAAGACAACGATTGAGAAAAAAAAAGCGTTATTATTTGAATAACCAAGTAACATTAAAGCCTATCAAAATGAAGAAAAAAATGCCAGCAATTAGACCAAAAATCTTTGTTGGCCAAAGATAAGTGTAGAGCGATGGCTAATTGTCTAAGCAACGAGCGAAAATTTTCAATCAAACAATATTGGCAGCTAAAAAAAAAGTAATATTTGTATTGATCTTAGTTGTTTATTCCTCAAACTTTGCTTTCCCTATTCCACTTTCTCGATCTATTTTTTTGGCTAACGGCTAACAGAATCGCAATTATTGTCACTATTATTGGTTCAGAATTTTTTTCTTCTTTAATTTACACCAATTTGAAACCCCAACTGCCAGTGATAGTGCAATACGCAACAAATTTATAGTTTGAAAATTTGAAATTTTGATTTCATATCAAAAAAAAAAAAAAACAATTTTTTCTCAGGCAATGAATAATTTCAATTTCAGTTAGTAAAACTTTTCACCTATTTTTCTCATTCTCAGTTCCATTTTGTCTTCTGCCAAAACCTCGCCTCCCCCCTCAAATTCTTAAGCTCAGCGTTTTGGACCAATTACAATAGAAAGAGTGGAGGAATAAATAAACTGATTGTATTTCAGATAATTCGCAACAATAGTGCAGATGAAAGATTGCTCCCGTTGCAGCTTTTCCAACTTCATCTCGTCTGTTGTAAATAGTCCTCCGATTTCCAAAGTCCGATGAAGTTTATAAACAAGATGTTCCCAGTTCACTTCTAGTGTCCACAGTTTTAGGTTAACAACGCAATAGTACTGCTAACTAGTAGCAAACCTTCCAACTTTTTTATGCGACAGCAATTTCGAAATAAAGAAGAACTTAGCCAATTCCAAAATAAAATAAAATTTGCTCAAACCGCAAATGTAAATGTCCACGAAAGTAAGTTGCGCGTGCGAACATGAAGAATAATTTCAGAATCATTGATCTCAAAGTTGCTGTAAGAACTTACCTCAAACATATTAAACGTTAATCTTTTAGAAATAAACATACAAAAACGATAAATTTTATTATATTCATACTGCTTTTGGTACTTTTGTGCTAAATGCCAAAAGTTTTGAATCAGCTAATTTTCTGATACAGCAAAAAACCAAGCTACACTAAACACCACATTTATGTTGACCACAGACAAAACCCGAAATTTTTGTCCAAATCTCATGAACTACCAAACACAACCAAACTCCACTTCCTTTCCACCTCTTTCAAGTAATTTAGGGCCTTCTAAACTGTTAATGAAAACTATATTCACAACTATCTCGGAACCTCAATTTGAGACCTATTTGGTCTCATATATTACAACTTCAAATGGTTGCCTCTACAACAATCTAAAAAAAATTTGTGTGCAATAAATCCTAGCAAAATGCACGTTACTAGAACATCAAGATCAAAAAAAAACCTCAGCACCCAGGGCTGCAAACTGAGTGTGGAGAAATCTATATATGAGAAGTAATTTAAGTGTTATCGATTATATCAATATCATTTTTACACACACAATATCCCATTTTCTTCCGGTTAAATGTTTATTGTTAGGCTGCACAATCCCCAGTTAGTGCTCCAAGCTTTTCAAATATTAATTTTAAAAACCTATAAAACATTCGAGTTACGCAAAACCAATATAACACAGCAAAAGTGAAGTGAACAAAGACAGAAGTCTTCACAACCTTAATAACTGAAAAAAATGTGAAAACAAGATATGTAGATTTGTAATCAAAAGATTCCATAAGAGAATATTGAAAATAATAAAACGGCACAACACTTTAAGCGTCTATAACACAGCACAAACAAATAACGTGTTAGATGTCTCCAAAATCTGTTGCTTACCTTCACAGCAATTGTGCAACTTAACTCTTGTCTAAAGAATTACTCGAGCTGTAAGTCAGACAACTAATACAAAATCTGCCCTTCAGAAATTAAAAAAGCTTAGACCATTTTCTCTACTATAAAAGATACTTTGACTGGTCCCAACAGATAACGGAGCACTTTAGATACAATTGAGATTCTCAGCATTAATCAAAGCAAAAACAAGAGTGACCACAAGTCATAACCCGAAGTAAGTTACGGAATACGTATTGCCACAGGTTAACCTAAAGACGTAAGAAGAAGATCAACTTCTGCGACAACAAATGAATACCCAGAGAAAAAATTATCACAACTTATAGAATATCAGAGATAGTAACCAATAA